TCTAAGCGGTAAATCGTCCGAGTAGTTTGTTCGACGACCTGACAGTATCTCTCATCCTAATTCCCGAGACGATTTATCAATTTAACGCCAACAACCGTACGAGACGCTCTCGAAGGTCGGACGGGGTAAGCGGCCGCTCTGCGGGAGGAGGGGCAGCGCGGAAAGCGAATTATCAATATTTTAAACGAATTAAAATTCAGACCAGAGAGGTGCCCCAGAGAAAGTGGTTAACAGCGCGCGGACTTCCTCTCACGAGAGTTAGTGAAGTATAAAGCAACAGGGATTTGCATGCAAAGCTGCTAAGTACGTTGTGGTTATGGAATCGTCGGTTAAACCTTTCGAAGAAACATTTCTATGATATTACCGTGAACCACATACACACATACACATAAACACACACATAAGCACACATACACATCATGGTGCCTCATGCATTCTGAAAGAATAACAGTCAATAGTTGCCGAACCATTCGAAATTGAGCGCACGTCTAACTGGACTCTGTCGGTCGGAACGATCGATAGTCTCGATCGTTCTATTACTTCTCTGTCAACCTCTCTCCTTATTTCGTTCCATGGACATGCAGAATAGACTGTACATTGCTGTAGGAGGAACGAAATCAGCCTTAGTAAGAGAAGATAATAGAGAGTAAGATATTTCCCTTGTCTAAAATTGTCTAATTGATGGCGGGGAGAACGAAGAAGGAGAAGCGATCACATGATCAATCCTCTCTTTCTTTCACTGTATTTACTCTCTCTTTTATTTTTCCTACATCGTCCCCTCCTGGAGTACTGTATGACAGGAGATGCATTTGACTTAGAGAAAATCCACACCTTAGCAGAAAAGCAAAAAGACAAAAGCCAATCACGATTCGCGTTAGTAGTCGGCAGTTTCTACTTTTCTACCAGCACAAGTTCTGATTGGCTTCTACCAAGGTGTGTGTGAATTTTTTTTAGCATACCTCTGTTCTCCAATCTTGTCATCAAGATTCCCGTAAGAGTGCGCAGTTTATTTTATAAGTATTAGTCTGTTCTTCTTCGCCGCACTCTCTCTGCACTAGCTTGCGCTAATCCTCTTGTCCTGTTTCTTATCCCACCAAGTCTCCACTGTATACCTGCTACTTATAGTTTCGTAAGTGTATATTAGTTGGGCAAAAGAAAACTTATGCTTCCTTCCTCCTTTACCGTTGCGCGCGTATACAGTTGCGAACACGGGCGTCCCGTAACTCTCCTTCTAACTAGACGTCGATCGACGATGATCGCCCGCGAAGAGGAAGCGGAAGGGCCGGGACCGGCGCGCCATTTAGATACGGAGATTCGCTCCCCGGAGGCGAGCACAGGCCGGCCGATTACACGAGCGAAGCGGGAGCTCGAGACGGGGCCCGAAGCCAACGCCCAGTCAATCTCGAAGACGACTAGGAGCGATCGCCTCGGTCGGTCGGTCGGACGCCTCCGGGCGATCCCGGCCACCGACCGCTTCCTTTTAGGCATAAATTCCTGCGGAGCGGTACGCCCGCGGCCGTATAAACACGCTGTGTCGCAGGTAAACTTCACGCTCTATACGGGTCCTCAACCCCGATTCACTATGCATGCAGCCCGCACTCGGTGGTCCGCCCCCGAGATTGCTCGCGGTTAATTGCTGATAAAGAACAGTCTGACGTACAGAGGCGAACAAAGAACACGCAGTTTATGGCGAGCTGCTCAAGTCGACGAGTTAAATTCAACAAACGATGTTGATCGAAAGAAGGAAATTTCTGTATTCGATGTAGAGACATCGCGTTGACTGCACTTGCCTTTGTCAGAGTAATACCGATCGATATTGTTAATTTACAACCTATAGATTCTACCCGACTTTGGTCAAAAAGAAAGGTAAAACATAAGCGAAGGATAATCTTGTTCACGACAAATTATCAGTAAACGAATTAGAAAATGAATATAAAAATTAACGAATTCTCCGACTACAAATTTATCCTATGGTCCTGATCAGGTCGACCCCAATCAATTACCTGGTTTATATAAAGTGATGTTATCGAGTCTTAATTATTAATAACATCCTGACTGCCATGTTGCGTTGCATGACTTATCAAGATCCGGTAAAATCACTTTTCGCAAGTCAGATAACTGATTGGGATCAATGTGATAAAGACCGTGGGATAAATTCTTCTTGTTGGATACTCTTTAAATGTCTTGGATTGACTCAAAACGTGAGGAGTAAGGAATGGCAATATTTATACTCGAAGCGGTAATGAAAATACTGTCACTCGAAACCACAACAATGAATATGTTTCACAGATCAGAGTGAACACCATATGAGTGAATGTCTGAAATTATTGAAGTTAATAAATTTCTCCGAATACATCAGACTCACTCTTCAATTTCGAAAATATTCACTCAACAATTTCGATGGAAAATTCACTCTATAGGAGTGCAAAATATCTTGAATTCAAATAACTCGGCTGTCACTCTGCTTCTCGAGTGAAACTTCGCTCCAGGAAATTCAGAGAGTAATCCGCAAATTTTGATATTATCGGCCTCTAATCCGTTCATTGATAATTTTCTCTGGAAGGAAATTATCCTCGGTCTGCGTTTTACCTTTCTCTCCCTTTTCAACCGAAATTTTTCATCTTACATCGCTGAATACAACATTCTTAACGACCGCAGCTGCCCCAGCTTCCGATTGATGTCGAGTACCGATTGACTGTAATAATTCCTCTTCGTGCGTCAGTTAAATCACGATTTACCTCGACTAATGTTCCTGAGAACCATAGTCCAGTTATCGGTTTTTGTGTTCCAACTAGCCGACGCGTCTCGATCGCAGCGAGCTCGACGCCCGGAGCATCGCGTCGGAGGCGCGTCGCGTCGCGTTTAATCGCGCGGGATGACGGATATCGGCTGTTACGGGCGATAACGCGCACGCTCGTAATACCGGATCCCCTGGACCGTTCGGAGACAAGCCGCGGGCTTGCCGGTTTCTTCACGGAGCGGCGAGGAGCATCGGAATGCGGCGACGGGGACTTAATCGCGGGCCGCGTACGAGATACTCCAAAGCCCGCCACCATGCGGCCGCACGTTCCCTACCAGGAGCTGTAATCGCCCTGGGAAAAGCTCGCTCTCGCCCGACACCACGTCCATTCGTTAACCGCTGGTGTCCTCGAAGGCGCGGTGTTTCGTCCTTTTTCCTTGTCCGGTAGCTGCGACGACGGTAGCTACTACGCGGTGGACTTACCTGAGGCGGGTCGGCTTTGCTAACGACACCGATTAACGTGGCGATAGGGACAATATAAGTTTCCCTCTTATTGAGTCGTTCTCGGCTCGTTGTCGATTAGTTGCGCTCCACAAAAGTATCTTGCCGAGATCGCGCGTGAATATGCGCTACTTAAAAATCATGTTGAAGATATACAGAGTATCCCAGAACAACTTTCAAAACTCTCTCGTAGAGACATAGCACGGATTAAGATGAACATAAAACTTCTATATCATATTCACAATAATTATCGAGATATTAATTGAAGATTTATGAATGATCACGCGAGAGATATGGTAGATGAGCTGTGGTAGCGACGTCTGCCATCGTGTGTTTGTACATTATGTCAAACTGAACAAAAGAGTTCTCTACCTTTTTCCTAATAACTTTGTAGAATTTTAATTATTTATGGTTGTTCTGGGATATTATATATACGGAAGAAACAATTCTGTTGGTGTAATCGAATTTACGGTTGCTCAGGAATCAGACGAAAACTCGACTATAGGAATAGAAAAATTCCTTGATGAGGCTTCTGTATAATCAATTGTTCTCAGTTACCTCAACCGAGTTCTAATATCGTTGAATGTTCAGATGAATATTTTCGGTTGCGACAACAGATATTAGTTTTCATAACAGAGATATCGCTTCTGATTATCTAATTTTTAGTTGGTTTCTATTTGGTTGCACTAGCTGAAATTCTTTTTGCGTGTATAAGTGAAAATAAACCCGTATATGAATATGTGAAATATGAATATATGAATACACTAAAACTATCATAGGAGATTCGAGTGCCATAATTTGGAGCTTAACTCTTATCATTGGGTAATAAATTTAACATTTCTCAACAACTCGATAACAAAAAATGTTAAAAAATTTAATTTTGAAAATTAATCAAATACAAACAGTTGATTGCTGTTGTTTTGTTCAAGTACAAATAAGTGCTTATTAATATAAGTAATTATTTAAGAATTATTTAATATGTGATTATTTCAATAGCCTACTTGCATTTTTCAGTTTTTCTTAATTCTTAATTTCAATAAGCAATATATTAATTATCTCGATTGCGCGCATATAATGTAATAATAAACAAATAATGTAATGTGAAGAAAAGAATACGACCGATAAGAATCTAATTACGGTTATTTGCTGCCAAATTGAATTATTCTTATTGTTTGAAACAAATTATAATACGCGCGCCGAATTATCCTTCGGTCTTTCTCAGAGTTGTTAGATTATTTCTACATTATATATTCGAATATCATATATATTAAATAATATAATTAATAGAGTTAATATAAATAATATAAATAAGAGCTTTTCGTAGGTAAAACTTAATAGACTTGAAAGAATTAGTGAACTTAAAAGAAGTCTATTTTTCATGTATGTAGATCAAGTATAACGGCTCTATTGTCGTGATCGGTCGAGGAAAACAATTTTTTGCATCAGCTGGAATTTCCGCCACGCCGCGCCGCGAGGAAGGTGTGTATATAACGTAAACAAAAACGTTGATACGCGGCGCGGCCGAAATCATAACAGTCAGACGCGGGAGAGCGAGCACGTCGGACGACATCGTGCGTTATATTTCTGGCTTTCGCAAATTAATCGGAGGCAGCGCGAAACGAGAATATTATAATTGTTCGAGAAAAGCAGTCGGACCAGGTAGAGCTCACGACACGCCGAAAGTTGCGCGCGCGACTTTCAATAGAAAAACATAACACATGTTGGTGCGCGACGCGGCCGGAGTTATAATAGTCTCAGACGCGGCACCGCGAGAATGTTCGACGACATCCTACGTTATTTCCGACTTTCTCAAATTAATCGGAAGTATGAAACTATAATTTACGATAATTTACGATATTCACACATGACGATTATCATGGATAATGACAGTAACACTGAATCTGCAAAGTAATTATCTCGTTCTGTTTTTATTAGATTTTACGAAAACAACACGATCGAATTTCCGTAATTTTTACGTATTCTCTTCTTTGTTTAAGCCTATGTATTTTCAACTGTTATACTTTGATTTTTATATTCTATATTATCTATGATTTTATAATTTAATAGCCGAGTTAGTTTGAAGGTAAATGGTTTTAAAATTTATATTCTTTTTTTTACTTTTGAGTTATATTAGTTAAATTAAATTTGCAATATATGAGTCGGGGTCAAATTGTGATCACAAGCCCTTTTTTTACACGTTTTGGCTTGTTAAACTGTATCTTTAAACGACAAATTTTGTTTTCTTTTGTCGCAGATTTCAGTAACGAAACTTGATTGACTCGGCATTTTCCTGTGAGTCTGTGTGATAAAGACTTGAGATGATGCGCTTTTGTAGAATTCAGTGCGAATCAGTGCTACTTACTTTGCTAATAAATTTTTGCATGTATGTACCATGTAACGAGATACACGGCTCAAAACAATCAGGGCAGCTTTAAAACTCTACCACGCGTTTAATGCTTGTCTCTACCAACGTTGATTGAACCTTAACCTGAGTTTTCGTCTTAATAGAGTTTAAACTCAGACTGAGACTTAGTCGACGTTGATAGAAACAGGCATAAATGAACACTCAAAGTGTCTCGAATACTTTTATCTTAATATCTAATCTAATCGCAATCATTAACAAGCATATTCATGCAAATATAGTGCTTATATTAACTCGTTTCATTTATATCGAATTTTTTACATGCGATTTGCGCCGTGAGTATATCGAAACGAGTCTGATGTGGTAACGTATCGTAAACTCGCGGAACGAGAAATTCGCGTTCTTTTTTCCTAAAGTTACTCTTATTCCCATATCGTTATACTCAATAAAACTATTCATGCAACGAGATCCCCTGATTGTTTCGAGCAATGTATAATGCGTAGCAGAAATGCGCGATCACGCACGAGATGCGCGACCACGCGCGACATGTGCGACCACGCGCGAAATGCGGGATTACTTCGCTCGCGTTGATAAATTCCAACACTCGATTTTTAATTCGCGATCTCTCCTACGTAAACATTCACGTCGCGATTCTTTAGCTTACGCATCTTGACTCACGTTGTTTACGTCGAAGTTTGTTTACACGCGCGACTTGCGCCGTGAGTGTATCGAAACGAGTGGCGTTGTAACGCCGCAATCCGCGAAACGGAAAATTCGCGTTCTTCTCTTTCGAAACTACTAGCTTCATGTTTCTTGCTACACCGTTATTCGATAAAACTATTTATTCAACGCAATCCATTAATTATTTCGAACGAAATATATGACTGCGCCACCACTGGCAAGATGCGCGACCACTTTGCTCACGTTGACAGCTTCCACAATCAATAGTTATTTAATTCGCAATCTTCTGCGTGCTCATTCACGTTGCATGATTACTTAGCTCGCGGCTTTTAACTCACGGAGTTTATGTCGAGCTTCATTTACTCGCGGTTATTCGCGCCATGAATGTGTCGAAACACATGTACCACAAATGTGTGGCATTGCAGCATGTCACACGGGACGGAAAGCTCACATTTTCTTAAAAGAGAAGACGGAAAACTGTTTTCCATATTTTTCGATGTTGGCGAAAAGACAACGCGAATAGTTCGCGATACTTCGTATGCGATTCGCGAGTGTGTTTCTGACGTGTCGGGCTTCATCGCACGGCGACAGATATTCGGCAAATGAGACTGCAAATTCCACATTTCGTCTTTCGCGACTCAAACTCGTAGAAGCTGTTTCATAATGATGCCGAGATATTCGTTAAATGCCATTATAATATAAACATTATTCGCGAGTGAAGTGAAGTGTGATCAACTTGGGATGACGCATAAAGTAGATTGGACATCACGGAGAATTCCGCACGAGGCAGTTCGCAGGACGCAGCGGCGAATTTCGTCGGTAGACCTGGACCATCGCTGGACCTCAACGCGAAACGGTGAGCATTGAATTTCAACACTCACAGAGTGTCATTATTACTAATTGCATGCGTAAATGTAAGTCGCACTAATTTCCAACGGAAACAACAGAAGTAGTTATACGTATCTATTACTATTATTTAAAACTGCGACCTTTTGGATATGCAAATTATCCACTATAATTTATTGTTGATTCGTATAAATCCACAAGTGTCATGCGATTTTATTTCGATGTAAAGTACCCTGTTCCTCGTTTAATTCTCAAACACTACGATGGTGTCAAGTCTCTTACAGCGCAAATATTATCGAAAACACCGGAAATAATATGTAATCTAATTAATGAATTGAATATATGAGTAACGTGAAAGAAGGAAAAAGGAAACACAAACACGGTTCTACTCTTAACAAGGATTGATTTAAAGTCTCGTACGGTGAGATACGTTATCTGCATAAATGATGCTTCCGTAGATTGATATTAAATCGGGTTATGAAACCTGCCGTTTGCCGCATCCATTAAGATACCTGAATTTTTTCCGGAATAGCCAATGAGAGGTCGAATAAATTAGTGTTCCGCGTAGATTAGCGGATCTATCCGCGCCAACGGCTGTGATCTCCTTTCGTTTTTCTCGTCGCGCGATATCACCGTCGCAGGATTGATTAAATCGCGTTGCTCGGCTCTCGTAAATGTGTGGCCGTCATTATCGCAGTTTTATTAACTCTCGCGTGCAGGATCTCGTAAAACCGAGTTTGAGTCGACACTCGTTCCTCCTCCACATCCTCTCAAAACAGCCCGACATTTCCTCTGCGATTTAATCGCTCAGAGTACGTTCGCGCGCATAACTGCGGCCATTCATTAACGACCTTCCTCTCGTCATCGATGCGACTTTCGTCGTCCTCTGACAGTCTACCTCGGGACTGACCGAGACCGTGCAAGCCGTAGCGATTAATGGAGCGTTACGGCAAAACTGTATGATATTTACACACGATATTAATTGGAGTTGTCGACTTGTCAGAAGTAATAAAACAACGACGAGGAACCGTACTCAAAGAATGATACTTCTGCGAAAATTGAGCTGTCAAACGTGCAGACTCGCTCAAGCAATTTTCGTTATTATCACGACAATGACGGAGAAACCCGCATGCGTGAGTAACGCGTTGGGATTATGGTGTACATCGTACACTAAACGTAAACGATGCATCTCGCATACTTTCCTTCCTCGACCGCGACATGTCGAATATTTAATTAACTTTCTGGTCAGCGGGATACTTAAGTGTCAATGAATCGGAAAGAATTAATTTAGTGGGTCACATGCGCGCATAAAACTATGGTCGTATCGTTGAACAGCCGACTGCGATTACGTACGGAGAGAATTTTAGAGTAATGATTAATAATACAACATTGTAACCGGGGAATAGGTCGACATTCCGCAACGATTTATGCGCTTTAATTTAATATGTGCTTTTATATTTTAGAAACTGAAATGCACTATTAAAAAATGTGCCATGTTCCTACCAGGAAGAGAAAATCTTCCTTAGGAGAAAAGATGTATCTGGAGACTAAAAAATATTTATTCGATTGATACTAACACACATATTTACTTGAATCTAAATTCTTTTGTCTAAATATAGAACAAACAATTGCTCTCATGAAAAGCAAGACATTATTTTAGGAAAATATATATATTTCCTCTCATTTAAAAGAAATTTCTTTTTTATATGTAAAAATATTAGCCTATTAGCACAGGTAAATATGTTATTAGTATCTAACAAATATTCCCTACTTTTTAGATATTCTTCTCTTAGTGAAATTTGCTATGTTTCTAACAAAATTTACTATGTTCCTTAGCAAAATAGATCACAGACTCACTGATAGTCTATCCACTATCAGGAACATAGTAAAATTGAAATTTACATAGAATTTATATGAAAAGGGGAAAAAAACTGCAATATTCTCTCCGTATAGCACTTTTTTCGCTACGGCAATCGCGGACGCACCTCGTTTAAGTTTCACGAGTCCATTAACGAGTTAATATAAGTTTCGACGCCATGCTCCAGTGTTCATAAAATTGTAATTTAATGCGTCGCGCGCGGTTTTCTGTTTTTTTTTTTCGTTTTCTCTTGCGATGCTCCCTCTCGTCATCGGCACAAGCCGCTCCGACTATCATTGACGTTTCGACGCTCTTTGCGCCGATATATATTTTCATATTTACACGTGTCTGCCGGTCGATCGGTCGGCCGGCGGATTTCATCGTCCGGCCGTTCGTTTTGCGAAACCCGTCCGGTCCGTGTCTGGTCGGGCTCGCGGCGGCATTTTACGATATGCAGATAAGCCGGCGAGGGATGCGGGGCTATAAATAATTGCTGCGAACTGGAAACGGTGGCTTAATGCCGCGTAATCGCGCTCGCCGATCGGCGATCATTATATCGTAGCCGGGAAAGTGCGCGCGCGGATGTGTCTCGCGCGCGGTTTTATCATTATCCGCCGCGAGAACGCTCAATTTATCCCGGCGTTTAGGCACGTACGAGATTAGCGTCCGCCGTGCGGATTCCGCGTTCCGTTTTATCTGATACACTTCCTGCCGCGCAACGGATGCCGGAGGGGCGGCAAATTTGTCGGGGAGACTCTTGCGTGGTCGCGATTGTTGCGCTCTCCGGGATTGTCCGGCCAAGTACGGCGGAAGAACTGCAGCATTTTCCTTTTGCGCGTCCTGTCCCTCCCGGATGTACGTCCGTTTTATTTTAGAAGTGGAAAAGGAACTATTGCGCGGTGATAATAGAAATAATGGAGGAAGCGGCTACTTGAGTAAACGCGATGTTTAGTCATCTTAAATTAACCTCGTATGCGCCCGAAAAAGTTTCCCCTTGGTAAAATATTAAATTCCTGTTGATTTACGTAAACTATTGTATTTGTTTTAACTCGTAGCAAATACAAATTCTATATATTGTGTATTCTATTTCTCTAAATTCTTCAAAGAAAATAGCAATAGAGCGAAAAGGAGTCTAAATATTTAAACTAGATATTATTTAGTTTTTCTATTTACATAAATTTAAATTATTTGTATAAATTTAAAATTTATATAAATTTCGACTAAATCTAACCTAGATATTTAAACAAAAAATCGCTCTTTCTCTATCGGGGGAAAATCGGTCATCTTAAATTATTGGTGAGGAAATTAAATCATAAATTTGAATTTATCATGTTCGTTTAATTGAAATCCACAATTATATATTACCCTGTATTATTCATATATTAATTATTTGTCGTTTTCATTGCAACATGTATAATGTGCGAGTATTCATCGTCCGGCCGTTCATTTTCATTCGTACATTCGATAAAACGTTTGACTAGTTGCGTCGCTGTGTTTTGCCGCCGTATATTATATTATAATTTATTACTGTCAGGTGAAACAGAGAGAGAGAGAGATAGAAAGAGATATACTCTTCAGATGCACACTTTTCTTATCCTCACTTATCTAACACCTTCGGAAAACTGCAAGAAAATGTTCTTCCCTTCCTCCATTCGTCGCGGTCAATTGTCGGCTCGGTTGGTTCGACCAACCGCGTAGCGCAAAAGGCGCAAAAAGCGCGTACGCGAGAATAAAACAAATCCGGTACACGCTTCCGGACGCATCAAGATTCCGCTTGTATCCTTCGTCCGCGGGTACTCGAGATACCTGAACGGAGGTGGGTATCCGCGTTCAAGACTCCCTGTGTGCGTTCGAGCATGTAATGATCGCCGTCTCATCCTCGACACAGGAAGAGGAACAGGTTTTTCCATTTTTCATGGTCTTATCGGCCTGCCTTAACCTCGAAGACGTCAATTCCGCGGATGTTGCCGGCGAAAAACAAGGACGAGAGCTGGATGCGGCCGCGACGGCGACGGCGCCACCACCGCCGCCGCCGCCGCCGCCGCCGCCGCCGCTGTAGACCGGCGCGGACAGGATGTTTGGTGCATGCGTTTCGAGTCCTGCGCGACGACGCGAAGTGCGCCTCGCAAAAATAAACGTGCAAAAAATCGAGAGAAGGAAGGTACCGCAATTGATCACGTTCTAAGTAGCAAATCCCGCGGCAGCTATTCGTACAAGTTCGAGTCGCGCAATCTCCGACAACGTTACTGTCAATGCAATGTCGATCGGAATTTCAATCGGAGATACGATTAGCGTAAAAGTTCCAATTACCCAGATACGTACCTAATCCTGGACATTCTTATTGTTTTAGCCTTTAACATCAACGTTGATTACCAATGTTACATATGTGTGATATGTGTGATGCAACATGTTCTATACTCTCACACATTATCAAATTAATTCTGTTTTACACAATTATGTAAAAAAAAATATGAAGTAGGCTGTGGGAAAAGTGAAGTCTTCTAAATAAATCATGATAGCGAATATGTTAAATACGAATATTTAAACATTTAATATAAAAAAAAATATATATAGAGTTTAAATATCCGTATTTAAAGGTCGAAACAATAAAAATGTCCAAGATTAAATACGTTTCTGGGATTTGGTACTTTCACCTTATCTATTCAAATTTGCATAAAGATACGATCGAGCGCCACTCTTAATAACAAATAATACGTCGTAGTTATAAATAACATTTATGTTAGACATAATCGTAAAAAGTTTTGTATAGAATAATATACAGATCTTAATATTTCTAAGTGTATTAGGTCCGGTAGATACAGTGTTAATAGAGTGTGCATAATATCAGCGAGCATTAACTCTTAAAAGTGTTTTACCGAAATGTGCTTAAGGCTCCTATTTCCTTGCCATATTGATTTATGGCATCAGGAAAACAAGATTCACGCTGAAGGTTTTTTACTAAATACGTTGAAATTAAATGATATGTTCACAAAATGATATTTGCAATTGGTCGAGTAAATTTGTAAAATAGTCTAAACACTTTTCTTTTACTCTAATAATCTATAAATAATCGTGAAATTAATGTGATAGGATTACACAGGTTAAAAAAGTAGATTGCAACATAGCACATCAGTTTTACAGTAATTTATTGATTATTAGAACAAAAGACAAGTGGACTATTTTACAGATGTGCCTAATCGATTGCCATTTCATGGACATCTTTTTATTTCAACGTATTTTGCAAGAATTTTGGGTATGCACTTTCTCTCGCTCCTGACATCATCAATCAAGAGTTCCGCGGTGAGGAGCCAGCGGCCTTAAACATCGCGTATTTCCCGCTACATGAATGGTTGTTCCAAGCAGGAATTCCTGCTTCTTAGGCGAAACTCTAAAGACGATAATCCGTTTTGTCCAGATACAGGATCAGTCGTGTTCATCATGCCGCGAACCCTGAACCATTCAATGCACATCTTTCGCCCCGCTACGTTAGAAATTCTCCTTTACATTCCTCTTTTTATTTCCTTCCCGTCATCTTTCTTCTATTCTGCGACGAGAAATTGTGTACGACCCTTTCAAGGGCATAGTACGTACATGTAGTAGTGAGTCAAAATGCTCGAAAAACCCATAGGATGGGCATACTGATACGTTAAACACGGCACAGTCATGATTCTAAGTATTTCCGCACAGTTTTTAACATGTTACGCACGCATATACACACGTGCGTCGATATAATTATTGGTGTATACTACATTTTATAGAAAGTATGCTTCTCTAGAATCAGAGTTTGTTTATGGAAAGAAGAAAATTTGATAGGTACGGATCAACGATTCCTTCGCTTTCTTACCCCAAGTTTTCGTCGCAAATTTTTTGATTATGTATGATTCATAAAGAGTTCGTTTTCCACCGCATCGCGCGTAATCGTTTGTCAATTCTCAATCATTAATATATCAAGAATTCACGCACGGTTATTTGCAAAATAATTTTTTCACTTTATTTGATGATACTACCTGCACACAGATGTGCCAGTTATACATTATGTATAACCATGAAATCTCTTTTTGAGAAATGTTTTTCCAAAAAGTGAAATTTTCGTCAAAGACGTAGACGGAAGGTACTAAAAGCCGCAGGAGTCGGTTCCTCGGCGGACATCACGCCCCTGTGCGTACATTTCCCAACTTTCTAGATTCGAGATAGATACGACGAAGAGGTCGGGTCACGTGGCAAGTATTCGTGCTTGGCTATTGGGGAAAAGAAACTGGGATAAAGATGAAGATACACACAGGTACCATCGAATGTCTGACGTAGGTGCCGGAAGGGATCAAAGGACGGTCCTTTAGCGATTGATATATTGTCTGGCTAAATTTCGATGCCTTCCTACCTTTTCCTTTCCCTTTTATATCCGTCGGATATAACACTCGGCGTCTTCTCGTGTCTTGTTCGGTCATCGCTGCGCTTACGAGCCGGAGATTAAACGGAAAACTAGTCGCACCGGAGCGAGTTACCGGTCCCGACACACCGGAACTATTGCGACGTGGAAAGATACCTAAGAGATAGATCTATTAACAGATACCGGCAATCTCAAGGCTGATCGGTTGAATTGGTGCGCGACACGCCGCCATCGAGCGAGTCTAAGGCGAGACCTCGCATTACATCGCGATGTTGCTTTCATCACCGCGCATTTTAATCGAGACTGATGGGTTAGGTTATATCTGCGTTCACTAATTAACGGTTCGCCTCTAACATCGTTCATCGTATGGATAGTAGTAGAGGGTCCATTCGGATCCACAATAGAATCTCGCTCTTATATTTCGCAGAATAAATTTTCTCTAGATTCTATCTTGATACTTTTTGTACTTTTATACTTGTAAATATTTTCCCCTCGGAAGAGAATGTTAGTGATACGTAATAATGAAGAAAGAAAGATAGAAGGGCAACTTAGAATTGTTGTTCTGTCGACTCGGCAGGTATGAATTCGAATGATATTTCTATGGCAAAGATCAAGTGTAATTAATTAGTTCAATTCAATTATCCAAGACATACACGCTTACCCAAGTTTATGGATGAAGATATATAGTTTGCGAGACATATAGTCTGTTGAGAAGTTTCAAAATCGGAGTTTCCCGGAGCAAAACATTTCTTTCTCCCCCGCGTATTGACTGACGGGCGAAAAGAATTTTGGAGATATCGCGTGGAAATAAGAAAAACCTCTGTGTGAGCGCGCAGGACCGCGTCGAAGAATGAGGAATCTATCTCGCGTTTCTTCAATTTGCCCGGCACTAGGTCAATTCCGAAGAAAGGCATCAAAATGGCGCGCCGCGAGAGATATACGAGGGATACGCGTACCGAAAGATTCGTGGAGCTCTCGCGAGCGAAGGTGTAGCGTTACGAAAGGCGAAACCTGTAATAACAGAGGCATCTGCTCTTTCTCCTCGTCTTGTTCCACCACCGCTGCTCTCGCTTCCAACGGTTGGGCCGGTCGCGCGTGCCTCTTAAGACCCGCACCCTCACTCTTCCCTCGGACCTCGTCAGACTTCATCAGCACCGCCACCATCTCCTCCTATCCCCCTCGTCGACGACGACGACGACGACGACGACGATGACGATGACGTCGGTCGGTCGTGATCGTCAATGGTGGTGATGGTGGTGTCGCTGTCGCCTGTTCTTGAATTTCGCCAGTTGCAGCTGCAGGATCCTCCTCGGACAAACCTGAACAAACGCGCGCCTGTTGTGGCGCGGCGTCGAATTACATGGTCATTCAAATCATCGGTGATGATTACCGTCTCTGAAGCGAGCCGACGGTGGTGCGCGACCGTCAGATCCGGGGCAGATCTCGTTTCGAGATTTCGCCGAAAATGTTGGCCCCTCTGTCGTCGACCCCGGCTGCCTTTCCCCTCCCCTCCTCCTTCCCCTCCGAGAACACCCCGATGGTTGTAACAGGACGAAGTGCCGGATAAAAACACATCTCGAGCACAAATTACTCTGAGTACACGTCATAAAAAATATCCGCGAGAAAGAATGAATATTAATGTAAGAAAACAAACAGAAAAATATATCATCTTGACAATTAATATCGGTAGTAAGAGGAAGGGAAAGATACATCCAAGTATGGGGTCTGGGTAGTCAGCAGAGAAATTGCCTGATAAACGAGAAATGTCCCGGGTTCGATTCCCGGTCCAGTCACCTCGCGCTCCCGATACATTATTTTATCTCTCTTACCTTGTAAAATATGAACATATATATATTATATATCATATATAAAGTATATCTCTTTCATAAATCGCGCTGTCCGCGTGCGCGCGCGCGCGCGCGCACAGGATTAACGTGCCGTTCGAATCGCCGTGTCGCGTCGATATCCCGCTATGAGACGCGAAATTTTGTCCTCGCCTCTGTTCGTACCCAGCCACGCCGAAGATGCCTCAGCCGGCCGGACGACAATTACGAATGCCAGTCGTCGCGCTTGTACGCGACTATACGCGAGCGAGCGAGCGAGCAGACGAGCGAGCGAGTGAGCGCGTGCACACGGGAGCAGCCTTTCTTCGCGGTCGTCGCTGCTTCGTGGTCGTCGGTCATCGAACTCGCGGGAGATCCAAAATAAACGGTCGGCGGGTATGCGCGATCGCTACTGGCCGCGCGCGACAGTGCCGGGTCCGACCGCGACTCGCGGCCGCGGCGTCGCGCATGCACTCGCCGCGGTGCATCCCGAAACCGCAAGTAGAAACCGCCCGCGCACGCACGTCGAAGTTTGACGTCGCGCGCGCGCGCGTCTTCCACGCGTAAAGACGTCGGACACCCAGCCGCTGATGAAGTACAAAATCACTCTTCTCGAGATGATAAAACAAAATAAATAAAAATGATCTCGTAACTGTGTGTGAAATATGACTTGCTGAGCGTAAACCCCACACCGTCATTTGAATAACTGAGACTTTTCTCGATGATTATTATTTGTTAATAGAGTGGACTTATGAGCGTCTATATAGGTTTTTCGTGGTATTCCCTCCAGGGAACTTCTAGTTTAGACTGCTGAAAAATAGGGGACTTTCATGAATTTTTTTTCAAAGAAATTAATGAAGACATTGATATAGAGTTTTGACACAAAAAAACCTGAGTTATCTTTTTTATTAAAAAATAATTTTTATGTTCGAATAATGGTAAATAGTATAGTTAAAATTCTATACTGTGATATTTTTACTCAATTCTTTGAAAAAAAAATTTGTAAAAATAAATTTCTCAACTATCTGTATAAGAAAGAATCTATACTGATATCTTTATACATTTCTTTGAAAAAGAGATTTATAAAAACTTCTTAGTTTTCCAGCTATCTGAGCTGGAAAACTTCCCTTTAAGCGATTAACTTCCCTTTAACATTAAACTTTAACATGCAATTTGACGAACAAGAAACATTGCTTCGTGTATCTGCTTTCTATCGGCGCGAGACTTCCACGAGCGTCAAGTGTGTCTCGGTAATGCTGGGGCAATTAAACTTTTTGTTATCGCGCGACATCGTGGCCGTTTCTCCATACGTCACGATACCGCGAGTGTTCCGCGAGATCGAGAGAAGGGTCATGGCACGGTACACTGAATCACGATATCTCGCAAATAAACGTCGATGTCGAACGCGACACGCACTCGTCGTTACACACAGCTTGACGTGATCGCGAGCGAGCGAGCGAACGTGCATGCGTGTGGGATGTGGACGATTAGTCTTGCCGCAGGAACGCGAGAACGAGGAAGAATCCGGTGTGAAATTGCGCGTCGAGGAAGTGCAACAGCGGTGAGATCATAAACGCGGCCGAGATCTCGTGGCCGCTTCGCCGTCGGAACCAATGAGTGGTTCCGCGCGGCCAGGCCGCGGCTTTTCACGTCGTGACGAATATGCGCGAAGCATCGGTCTGCTCGAGAACGTCAACGTGTCGGCGCAACATCGCGTCTTTTTGCGGGAACACGCGATTACGAGAGCATCTCGCGCGATCGATTAAATCCGTCAGTTGCGCGAACGCGGAAGCGCGTGGGGATGAGCGCTATGCAAATCCATGCTGGCCACGTGAGCTGCATCGCGTGAATCCGCTCTTATCTCGTAGTATCGATCGACGTTATCTCGCACATTGTTGTTACTGTTACTATTGTTGCCGCGATCGTCTAGTCTAATGGGGATCCTGCGGAATTTATTCGTGGCACTTCCCACGGATCTCACGGGCTTCAATAAACTCATTATCCGTCTATCCGCGCGCCGCGAGATTGTTATCGTGGCGTTTAATCGCCGCTATCTGAGGGATCATCGTTATTTTTCCTGTTGTCGTTGCAATTATCGCGTAATTAAATAATAGGTATCTCCTGCGGTTAGTGGATTCTTCGGATATGCTAGATCTCAACGAGCGCTTAATAATCGCGCGCGTTTATCTGTTTATCGAAGCGGCTCTCTCGGTGAAAGAGAGAAACAGAGAAGTTGATACACAGCGCTCGGATTGTTCTGTGTTTAACTGCTTGAATTTCAAGCGCTCATTTTCATTCCGATTCCGACCGCCCGACTTGGGGGCCATTGTGAAGCGTGTGCATTATCGGTTTATCGCGCACTCACGCAGTGGCGTGTGAAAATTGCAACGGGCGGCCAAAAATTGCTTCTTTCACGCACGCGATAAGAGACGTGTGCGCGCGTTTAACTCACAATAGTGCTATTGATGCTTAGCTTGGTATTTCGCATCAATTGTGATTCGCATACCAGTCATCCCGTTCACAGACAGATGGAGGCACCGGTGGAGCGACGCGTTCCACCAGCTTTAAGTCTTAATCATGCGGCATGGGACTCGGCACCGGTGAGATCATGGCGAAAAGAACAGGTGGGGAAGGAACACGCGACGCTTTGCTAACATTGCACGCGAATATACACATTTTCCTACCTTTCTATTCGCGTGCATGCCCCATCACGACGAGTACTGACGATTAGCGACACATTGATAGGGGCGCAACACGATCAATATTAATAATCGGTTGATGGACAGGATGGATGTTAATAATTAATTGTTAGATTACACGGTCGGCACGGAGGGTTTTGCGGCATACCGTATCTGACCTGACCTTTACCGCGCAACTTCCGTTCTTCCTTTTGCGATAAAGAGGCGTTCGGTAACATTGCCGTTGCAACAAGATTAGCGCGCGCGAGGCAAACGGAAATAGACGGGACTAATTGGTAGCTCAAAGCGACGCCGAGACTATTTAACGTATAGAGCGTCAGCGGCGATTTGATTTATACGAGAAGACTTTTCCAATTTTGCGCTGCGCTGTTGCGGAATGTGAAGGTATTTCAATGGAGCCCAATACACGTATCGATATCGAGTGAAATTTCAGAATATTCGACATTGTTCGATACTGATACGTATAACAATTATCACGGCGACTTTTTCACAACGCGCGAAAAATTATATTTTTTTTTCGTCAGTATATTCTATACAGGATATCTTGTTATCGGACATTATGTTGCGCCGTTAATGAAAGCAAAGATACGATATATCCAAGAGATTGAAGTAAGTTAAAGGGCTGCACTACTTAAACACTTTACCGATAAAATATTGGCTTTTTCCTGCAAAGTTTACGTCGTATTGGTTACATGAATTGCAAATGCTTCTTACATTTGTGCATCAATTGTATTATACAATGAAAGTATGTGCAGAAATTAAACGGTTTAATCGGCATTAAATGATTAATTATACACTGAAGAAAAAATATCTAAAAATTCACAAATATTTATTAGGTGGGTATCATTAACATATTTATTTAAATTAAAATTCTTTTCACTTAAACTGAGTATTAAACTGTTTGCTCGGTTTAAATAAACAGTACTTGGTTTAAATGAAGAAAAATTTGAATATTTATTAAGTGGGTGGTACCCACCTAATAAATATTTGTTAATTTTTTAATATTTTTCTTCTCAATGTATGGATAAAAGCAATATCTTTGTGCTTTATTGTACACTGAAAGAAATTATCCAATAAAAAAATTAACAAACGAATATTTTCAATCAAATTCCCATCAATTTTTACATTCGATCAGGATATCCGATTAAATTTTATTGATTATAATGGCATTTTATCAGATAAGCCGATGAAAAAATTATGAACCGATATTTCTCATCAGATGTTTCCTGATTGGATACAAAAATTCATTGGTATTTTGACCGGAAATATCCGTTTGTTAATTTTTATCGAATAATTTCTCTCAGTGTACGATTATTAATAAAAATGCATATAGTTTACATTATATATCTATATTTGGTCAAATTATATACATTACAATTCTATGTACAAAACTCGTACAGTTGTCACTGATACAGCTGCAATCGTGTTTGTCTCGAAGTGTGAGATTAGCAAATCCCCAAAGATCGGTACGAGGAAGGGGAAAGGGGAGCGCGGTTGGAGCGAACGACAATCGCCACTTGAAGTAAACAACGTTTCCTTTTTTTTTCACCAGCCCCCACGCGCGCCCGCGCGATTTGCGCGCAACACGTGTCCGTATTTTAATCAAAACCAGATCTGTGAGTTTCTTCGGAGGTGGGACGGCTTTTCGAGAGGCTGACGTCCTCCCCTTTCCCGTGGCTTCGCGCGCGCGCTACGAAACGCAATCATCGGTGCTTGTGTTCGTGGTCATAAGAGAGACAGGAAAAAAGGCAGATTCCGACTTCTTCCGGCATAATTTTGCCCCGGGGGCCAGCTCGTGTGTAACGAACTCTCC